ATAAAATTATTTCATCCATCCGTTCATCCATCTATCCATCCATTCATCCAAGCACTCTGCCATGAAATACTCACATCTGTCCATCCATCCACTCATCCAACCACTCAACCATAAAATCTTTCCATCCGTCTATCAATCCATCTATTTGTCCAACAATTCAACTATAAAATCCTTCCATCCGTTTGTCCATCAATCCATTTGTCCATCCACTAAACCGTAAATTCTTTAATCCGACTGTCCATCCTCCCATCCATCTTTCCATCCAACCACTTAACCATAAAATTCTTCCATCCGTCCATCCACCTATCCATCCAACCAACCACTCAACCATAAATGCTCCCATCTGTTCATCTATTAATCTATTAATCCAACCACTCAACCATAAAATCCTTCCATCCATCCATCCATTCATTCATCCAACAAACCACTCAACCATGAAATCATCTCATCTGTCCATCCATCCATCCATTTATACATCCATTCATTCATTCATTCAACCACTCAACCATGAAATCATCTCATCTGTCCATCCATCCATCTATCCATCCATTCATTCATTCAACCACTCAACCATGAAATCATCTCATCTGTCCATCCAAACACACAACCATAAAATTCATCAATCCGTCCATCCATCCATTCATCCAACCACTCAACCTTAAAATCTTCCTTCCGTCCATACATCCATCTATCCATCCATCCATTCATCCAACCACTCAACCATAAAATTCTCCCATCCCTCCATCCATCCATCCATCCATCCATCCATTCGTTCAACCACTCAACCGTAGAATCCTTCCACTTGTCCATCCATCCATCCATTCATCCATCCATCCATCCATTCATCCAACCACTCAATCATAAAATCCTTCCATCTGTCCGTCCATCCATCCATCCACTCATCCAACCACTCAACCATAGGGGAAAGCATTGTATTGGCTAAAATCTGCAAGGGGGCGGGGCCAAACACTGTTTTGGCCAATCAGCACCTACTCATAGAGATTGAATCAATGCATCTCTATGAGGAAAATTCAGCGTCCCCATGCAGAGCGTGGAGACGCTGAACGACACTGCTGCCTACTGTGCAGCAGTGAGCCAGGAAACACCTCCAGAGGCCATCTGGGGAGTCCCTAGTTTTTCTCTGAAAAGGCAGTGTTTGCATGAAAATGCTTGCATATAATGATTATACTCACCAGAACAACTAATTAAGCTGAAGTTGTTCTGGTGACTATAATGTCTCTTTAATGTAAAAAGCTAATTTACTTTTTATCTAGGCTTCATTTCACTGCGTCCTAAAGTATTGCTTATGTCCAATGGACCCAGCTTATCACTTCTTATTCCTGTATTCTAATAATATGTGTTTCATTCACCCTTTGTACAGTGCCATGGAATATGTTAGTGCTTTATAAATAATTATATCAATAATGTTTCCTCGCAGATTTATTGTGTCCCACCACAGCAGGAAGAGTCCTAAATGCAGGACCTATGACCCCATCTGTTATCTGTTCCAATCGGTTCTCTGAATTGAGATAGCTGGGCAGAGCACCAGGCATATTATGGTCCTGGCCCTGCGCTGTGGGTGGAGTTGTAACAAAATATGACTGGAACGTGTGTTGGTAACTGTGTAGCTCACTGCATGCTACAATGTAACATGATTCCATATATCGCCATAAAGTGATGTCACAGAGTGGGCAGAGCCACATATAACAATATATTCTCTCTATATATGTCTCCTATTGAGTTGTGCGCAATTTATCATTTGATACACAGATCGCTGTTAGCAATATGCCCTCTATAGAGAAACAACCTTTAAACTGGTTTAGCCAGTTTGTAAGTTTTACAGTAAATGTTTAAATACCTTATTTAAAAAAAAACAAACATGGTTAGCTTTGAAGCACAAAAGCATGATCAGGTTTCTAGGGCCGGATGGGGCAGGTTCTGTATGACAATGTCAAGCAGTCACACTGAACGAGGTTAAGATAATACCATCAGGATTATTAAATAAAGTGAAATCTCAAATCAGCTAAACTTCCTGTGCGACTACTTTGGCTTTAAATTTGAAAGTCTCACTTAAAGGGATCCTATAGTGCCAGGAAAACAAACCCATTTTCTGGGCACTATATGGTTAGTAGGTCCCCCCCCCCCTCCATCGGAGCCCCTCTCCCGCTGGGCTGAAGGGGTTAAAACAGCCATTTACCTTTATCCAGCGTCAGGCTCCCTTGGCGCTGGTGACGTCTCCTCCCCCTTCTGACGTCAGTTCCCGAGTGGAGACAAATGCGCATGCACTGCCAGAGCCGCGCACGCATTCAAACCGCCCATAGGAAAGCATTACTGAATGCTTTCCTATGGACGTCGAGTGTGAGTTCAATGCGATTTTCACACTGAGAATCACGGAAGCGGCCTCTAGTGGCTGTCAGGAGAAAACATAGCAGTTTCTCTAGGGGGACCTGGCACCCTGACCAGTTCATTGAGCTGAAGTGGTCTGGATGCCTATAGTGGTTCTTTAAGTGAATAACCCTGAGGGAATGAATGATAACATGTGTAGAATGGACGAGGATGTAGACTTGAATTTGTGAAAAAGATTTGTTTTTTTTATAGAAACTGGTTTAAATTATTGGATAATAATAAGATTTTCCCCATAGGAAAGCACTGATTAATGCGCATTAGGTCTCCCCCGTCGACGTCAGCCAGGGGAGGAGTGTGGGCGGAGCCTGACCAAGCACCGATGGACATTGGCGATGGATTCAGGTAAGTGGCTAAAGGGGTGTTAACCTCTTCACCCCGGAGGTGGGTCGCGAGAAGTATGAAAGGTTGTGTCTAATCTACCAGGACTAAAACTTGCATCCCTGAAGTTTGAACAAACTCTATACTGGGTAATAATAATTAACACTCTAGATCAGGGGGTGCCCAAATGGTAGATTCCCAGATGTTGTAGAACTACAACTCCCATGATGCTTTGCATGCCTTTAGAATGACAGAGCACCAAGGAAGTTGTAGTTTTAAAACATCTCTTTAGTTTTTGAGAAACCCATGTTGACTATTATGTTTGGCTATAACAGTACACATTTATACTATGTTATCCCATCACCTACTTTTGGTTTTGTCTGAACTGGGTTTAATGTCAGTTGGGACACTTGGAGTGATTTCAGGGTAATTAGAATGAGTTTCTTCCTCGGTTATATTGGTAAACGTTGCGATGGCTCCTGGAGTTACAGCCTTGGTGGCTGTTGCAGTTGGTAAGGATAAGGTCACCTTATCAGGTGTAGCAGTTGGCAGTGATGATATGCTTGTATCACTTGCTGTTGTTAGAGGTGTTATGTTAGTTTTTAATGCACTGATTGTTTTGGCAGAAGAAGTAGCATTTTGGTTGGATGAAGTTGGCGTCACAATGGCTGGAACGTTTGTAGATGGCAATCCTAACACACTGGCTTTAGAAGTCAATGTGTTTAGCTCTTGTGATATCTGTAAAGTTGTAATTGGGGTATGTATTGTAGTTATTGATGCCACAGCATTTGGTGATGTAGCAGTTGTGCCAAGAACTGTAGGTGGTGAGAAAGTGGTGATCACGGTCGTTGGAAGCAGTGACTTAGTTGTATTTAACAAGGTTGAAAATGCTGCATGCGTTGTATTTGATGGTGGGATGATGGTGGTCTCCGCAGTGGTAGATTGTAAAACATAAGTAGTTTTAGTTGTTGTACTTGGTGATAAAGTGGTCTCAGTACTTGTATTCGAGGGTGCTAAAGTCAACTTGTGATTTGTAGTTTGTATCAAAGTGGCTGGCACTACGGTAGCTGACAAGGGTGTAATAGAATTAATAGTTGTGATAACCTTTTCTGTCATACGTGGTGCTTCAGTCGTTGGAAATGTAGTTTTGGTGTAATTTAAACTAAATGGAAAGAAAATGGTGGTCTCACTAGTAATAAGTGGTGAAATAATTGTGATCATTTTTGTTTTTTCAGCCGCCATTGTTGTTGTAGTTGTTGGTGTTATACTGGTTGGTGATATAGCATTGGTTGTATTAGTTATCGTTAGTGAAATAACGGGGGTCACAGGAACTGTAGGTGGCAACTTAGTGTTCTTTAAAGATGTGTTTAAAGTGGTCAAAGTCTCCTCATGTGTTGTAGTAGCTGGCGTCACATTGGTTGAAACTGCAGCAGGGGAAAATGAGAAGTTAATACTACGAGTAGTTGTTATGTTTGGCAGGCTTGTGCTCATCATTTGTATTGTAGATTTTGATATCATGGTGGCTGAAAACTGTGTGCTGATCTCTGTAGCAACGGATGGTGAGAGAGATCGGCTCTCAATCATTGTAGGTGGTGACTCACGGGTTCTATTTAACTGAGTTGGAATCCCACTATGTTCTGTAGTTAATGGTGGAATGATGGTGATCTTAGTAGTCCTGTATGGTGAGACAGTGTCCGCTGATGATGGTGAGAAATTGGTCTTAATGGTTAATGTTTCTAGCATGTTTGGGGGTGCCATTGTTGTTGTAGTTGTTGGTGTTATACTGGTTGGTGATATAGCATTGGTTGTATTAGTTATCGCTAGTGAAATAACGGGGGTCACAGGAACTGTAGGTGGCAACTTAGTGTTCTTTAAAGATGTGTTTAAAGTGGTCAAAGTCTCCTCATCTGTTGTAGTAGCTGGCGTCACATTGGTTGAAACTGCAGCAGGGGAAAATGAGAAGTTAATACTACGAGTAGTTGTTATGTTTGGCAGGCTTGTGCTCATCATTTGTATTGTAGATTTTGATATCATGGTGGCTGAAAACTGTGTGCTGATCTCTGTAGCAACGGATGGTGAGAGAGATCGGCTCTCAATCATTGTAGGTGGTGACTCACGGGTTCTATTTAACTGAGTTGGAATCCCACTATGTTCTGTAGTTAATGGTGGAATGATGGTGATCTTAGTAGTCCTGTATGGTGAGACAGTGTCCGCTGATGATGGTGAGAAATTGGTCTTAATGGTTAATGTTTCTAGCATGTTTGGGGGTGCCATTGTTGTTGTAATTGAAGGCATTACAGAAGTTGAAAATGTAGCAGATGGTGAGATCATGCTGGTCTCAGCCATTGTAGCTGAAAAACAAAAAAAAACAAAAAAAATTCACAAAACCAGATGAAAAACGCAAAATTGCAATATAAAAAAACATAA